AAGTGTTTAGTTTGAGTTTGAAGCTTGGAGATCAAATCTGGAAATTCCAGATTTTGCATTCACGCTCGAGCGTAGGAGTTCACGCTCGAGCAAGCACTCTGAGTGCGTGCACTTCCGCTCGAGTGATTGGAAGCTCGCTCAAGCGTGAAATGCATGTATCCAGGAGTTCATATGTTTTGCAGCACGCTCGAGTGACAGAAGTTACGCCCGAGCGAGGGTCTAAGTCTCACGCTTGAGCATGAATCGAGCGTCCGTCGAGGGTAGAAAGCAAGCAACCAGTACTTTTTCTAAAGTTTACAGTCCGCTTGAGCGAGGGAAGTCACGCTCGAGCAAACCTTCACTTCTTGCATGTCCGCTCGAGCGAGGAAAGCCACGCTCGAGCATGGACCCTGTTTTCAGCAAGTTTTGGAAAATATTTTCAAATGCATTTTTGCATCCTCATTCCATCCTAGGCATTCCTAGGCCATGATTAAGACTCCATAATAAGGTTAAAGGCTAGAAACACGCTTAGAACAAATGAAGTAAGTTATGTACAATTCGAACGTGTGTTTCAGGTGTGTGTCTGTTATGTGTTCATGTAGATCACGTGCCGTAGACCGTCTGATTGGTCTGCTCTGTCTGTCTGCACTCCAAGCCAACTGTGAGTAATAATTTAGTAAAGCTATGTTCAACTTTATTTATTTTCAATATGATAAAATAAGATCTTTTTTCTGAAATGATATGTTTTGTACAATGAATGATTGTCCAATTTCTAATAATGTATTCGTGGCATCCTTAGCATCATGTGATATCTGTTTGTTGTTACCCGGTATCGAAGGTTCCATTATCAAACTTAATATGCCTGCACTCTGTTACCTATACTGGAGGTTCCATCATGGAGCTCAGCATGTATATTCTCTGTTACCCGGATCGGAGGTTCCTTTATGGAACTGATTATTCATAACCACCATATGTTCTACATCTGTTCTGTATCTGTTCTGTTAGCACTAATGGATGTACCACGTATGATTAAGCATGAATTATGATTTCTGTATATCATCTAAACAAGAATACGAATATGAATATGAATCTGAATTATGATTTCTGAATCTGTATGGACTTCATTCATCAAAACCCTTTACTCCGTTATTATTCACTGGGCTTCCACTCACTATTTATATTATGTATATAAGTGAGCAAGCACGTGACCAAGGCCAGAGTTGACGGCCTATGTTTCAATTTTTGTTAGCCAACCTTCGCGCCTCCCAAGGAGGTTTCGGATGAAGTCAAGTTTTGTGGTTGTTTTTGTAATCATATTAGACTATGTTTGTCTGTTAAGTTGTGGGCGAGATTTTTGACATATACGCCTAAGTGTGGTATGTAAATATTATATCTTTTGGTTATCACTCGTATGTTTATAAAGGTTTTTGATTATTCTCTCCCATGTATGTCATCACAGCTCATTGGACCTCATATGTTTTTTATATTCGCTTCCGCAGCCCCTAACGACATGTTAATCTGTCAAGAGGCCTTTGGTAATCCAAGGATTACTGGCCAATTACGGTGCTAAACCCATAAGGGTGGGTTTGGGTCGTGACATGATCCTTGGCCCATCAAGCTGTTACTTAGAGGTATTGGTGGCCGACTATGCGAACCGATGCCGAAAACTACGTGAGAAAATGTGAACAATGCCAAAAGTTCTCCTCACTGGCCCATTTACCCGCTGAAGAGCTGAGTTCAGTGACCATTCCTTGGCCCTTCGCTCAATGCGGTTTGGACATAGTTAGACCTTTACTAAAGGCACCGGAAAGCAAACGATTCCTAATTGTGGCAACGGACTATTTTACGAAGTGGGTCGAGGCAGAATCGTTGGCACACATAAATGTTAAACATTTTGTATGGAAGAACATTATTACTCGGTTTGACATATCTAGAGAACTCATTTCCAATAACGGCACTCAGTTCGATTGCGACATATATCGGGAACTATGCGACATGTATAGTATTCGGCCATATTTCTCTTCTCCGGCTTATCCCCAGAGCAATGGTTAAGAAGAGGCCTCTAATAAGGTGATCCTAGATGGTATTAAAAAGTGTTTGAAGAAAGCCAAGGTCAAGTAAGTTGAGGAATTGCCGAGTGTTATGGGCTTATCGTACTACTCCAAGACAATCCACCGGAGAGACAGCATTCACTTTGTGTTTTGGCACTGAAGCCATTATCCCTTTGGAAATTGGCTTACAAACCCTTAGATCGAAGGCTTTTGACCCATGCCGAAACAACATCATACTGGCTTTGACTAAACTGCTCGAAGAATGCCGAGACCAGGCCTTCGTGACTCTGGCTCGTTACAGCAATAACTCACCAGATCATATAACCAACGGGTGCAGCTGCGCAGATATAACCCTGGAGAGTTGGTTTTGAAAAAAGTACATCCTGCCGAATCCCGTCAACGTTAAACTCGACCCCAATTGGGACGACCCCTATCAAATCAATTCAGTTGTTGGCGTAGGGGTGTATCGGCTCTCAAACATGAACGACAAAAGATTACCCCGACTATGGAATTCAACTCATTTATGCAAGTTTTACCATTAATGTGAACCTTAACACTTTCTTTATTATCTCAGTTGTATGTTCTATTTCATTGCTCTTATATGTATCGCATCCTTTGAGCAATACAACTTAGTCAACTTTTTTTATCTGCTTGATTCAACTTGGTGTGCCTCTTGTGTTCGACACGATTGGCCCAAAGCCTCCGAATTCGGAGCGCCCTTCATGCTGGGCACAATTGGCCTAAGGCCTCCGAATTCAAAGCACCTTTCGTGTTCGGCACGATTGGCCCAAGGCCTCTAAATTCGGAGCACCCTTCATGTTTGGCACAATTGGCCCAAAACCTTCGAATTCGGAGCGCCTTTCATGCTCGGCATGACTGGCCGGTTAAAAGAAAGACTCTAATTTTTAGATAGGCTTGAGATAGGCAAACAATCACATACGCAATTAAGAAAGAAAGACTCTAGTTAGAATTATTTTTTATTACAGAAGATGAAACGTCAATACAATTTCCATCAAATTACATTTATCCATGTTTGTCGACTCCTCTTCATCATCAGTCTTCTTGGCATTATAAGCTTCAAACGAAATGACATAATTTTTGTACAAAGGTGATGACAAATCCACTCCCACCGCTTTGAGGGCCTTGGTCCATCTATGCTTGAAACCACGATTCTTATAGCGACAAACATCGTCTGCCAGCTTCTCCTTTGTCCTTTTAATACCAATTGTTTGGCCCTCACAGAATCCCTTGTTGTAAGCTTTGGTCTTTATCGCCTCCTTGGCGAAAATGTTGATAGTCTCCTAATTAACTATTGCATGGTCTATCAGATGCCGTGTAACTACGTCTTTCGCAATCGACTCTGTTATACCCGCCAACTGAACCTCAGCCGCCTTGGCTTTTCAAGCTTCATTTTGCGCTCGTTCCTTTGCCTGTCCAATCGACGTTCTAAATTTTGAATCCACCCATCTTTATGATCTATTTCTTTTTGAGCAGCGCGAAGGCACATACCGACTTCATATGAGCTTTAAAGTCCTCTAACCGCTCCATGGATTCCTTCCTTGAAAACTTCATAGTCGCTTTGACCAACCATCGATTGTTGAACTTCCAGCGGGAAGATTTGCCGCGTAAACTCAACTGTTACGTTTAGGTCACGGATAATTGAGTAGGCCTTGGTCATGGGTTTGTTCCCAATAAAGACCGAAAAACTCAGGGGACACGATGGTCTGTTCAGCTCATTTTTCACGGGAATCTCATTTTTCACGGGAATCTGCGCACTAGTAGAACGTGTGCTTCCTTTCTTCAAGGCCTTATTTTCGGGAGATCTATTCCCCTCATCTTTTCTAGGTGATCTACTTCGACGTCTAGGCGATTCTTGTTCTTTTGACACCACATTTCCTGTTCGAATTGGATCTCCACCAACCCTACGGTACATTTCTGCGTCATGTTCTTCTAGACTCTTCCCCTCTCCTCTACTATTAAAGAACAACTTTCCAGACATGCACCTCGACAATGACAGAAGCTCCGCCACTTTGCTATTGACGACTACCTTGAATGAGCAACTCTTTTATGAATATCTCTCCGTCGTTCGTGCACTCTCTATTTAAACACGCTAGGCCATAAATGTGTTTTCATTACTTACGATTGCACTCTCCGTCATTCGTGCACTCTCCGTCGCTACCACTGTCGTTAGTCGGCGTCATTCATCTACATCTCAACTGGGGCAGAGGCAGATATATGAATCTATTCGGCATGGAAAGTCGAATTTCCACATTGTGCCCCACTTGAACTGTGAAGTGGTCTCATCTTGATCATGTAGTCGGTGTCATTTGTCTACATCTCAAGTGGGGCTGGGGCAGATATATGAATCTATTCAGCATGTAAAACAGCATGTAAAGCGGAATTTCCACATTGTGCCCCACTTGAATTGTGAAGTGGTCTCATCTTGATCATTTAGTCGGCATCATTGGTCTATATCTCAACTGGAGTAGGGGCAGATATATAAATCTATCCGGCATGTAAAGCTAAATTTTCACATTGTGCCCCACTTGAACTTTGAAGTGGTCTCATCTTGATCATTTAGTCAGCATTATTTGTTTACATCTCAACTAGAGCAGGAGTAGATCTATGAATCTATTCGGCATGTAAAGCCGAATTTCTACAGTGCGCCCCACTTGAATTATGAAGTGGTCTCATCTGGATCATTTAGTCGGTGTCATTCGTCTACATCTCAACTTGGGCAGGGGCAGATATATGAATCTATTCAGCATGTAAAATTGAATTTCCACATTGTGCCCCACTTGACTTGTGGTCTCATCTTGATCAATTATTCGTCGGTATTCGCCTGATATATGAATCTATTCGGCATGCAAAGCCAATTTCTACATTATCTATTTTTAATTGCATTAAGTTCTAGTCACACAACATCTTCAATTTTTGCATAGGCGAAAAGATTCAATAGGAGCATTTTCATTGATAAATTGAACAAGTAGACGAAAGGATTCAGTAGGAGCATTTTCATTGATAAACTGAATAAGGTACAAATATTTCACCTTATACATGAAAACGGACCTATTACTACACATTTGCTAAAACCAAAACAAATACAAAGACAAGCAAACAAAAATAAAAATAAAAATAACATATCTTATTTATGTTCCTTGCACTACTCGGCCTTAGAAGTCTTCAAGATCTTATTCCAGCGGCTCTACCTCCTTTTGCTCGTACAAAATCGGCATGTCCAGCGTCATCTTTGTGGCCGCCAAAGGTTTGAGTCAACCATGTTTCATGTTTCCATTTTCAAATTTTAAGGCCTTATCGGCATATTTCTCCAGAGTTGATGTCTCTCTGGCCTCAAATGCCTCAAATGCTTTAGACGCCTCCAAATCCACTTGTTCTTTCGCATGCTTCACCTCCTGGAGATTGGCTTTGAGTTTTTTTTATTTCTTCTTTGGCCTTTGCTAGAGCGGTGTTGATAACCTTGGCTCTTTCTTCAGCGGACCTCTGAAGCAAGTCAACGTGCTTCGCCTTTTCCTCCTCGGCAACATTGGTTGTTTCTTCAGCGGCCCTCCAAAGCAAGTCAACATGATTTGCCTTTTCCTCCTCGACAACGGCCATCGCGCATTCTTCTTCGGCCTTTTTCTCCTTGGCCTCGGCTTTTGTCGTTATAATCGCCAAGTCAGCAATTGCAGACTTAGCCTTGTTCTGCTCAGTTGCGACCTCTACCTTAAGTGAGCTGATTAACTCAACAGCATCGCAATGACTGCGGCAGATTTCAGCGATCTGTTTCTCCGCCTAGCAAAAACAAAAAAATACAAACAGTTATATAGTATGCAAATGTAAGAAGTAGAAATACAAATACTACTCACTAAAATAGTTGATTGAGCGGCTAGGGCAATCGACACCACATCTGGTTCGGCTTGGCAAGCTACCTTATCTAAAGGGAAGGAGATCGCCGAAGCCACACTTAGTGCTGTTGGAAATGGTTATAAAATTCTGGATAAAACCAGAATTTTTTCCTAAGTTCGGTCTATTTTTTAGGTGGGCCCCGAGTGTCGATTTACTCGTTTCGTACACAACAGAATTTAATCTATTTAAATACAGTGAAGATTGTCCTACAAGTGCCACGGTAGGGTCCTTGATTGTCGAAGCACCAGTGGGGACTAGAGCTTCTTTCATCTTTGGTTAAAATGTAAACGGCTCAGCAAGATCAAGAAAAGCTGAGATTCGTGGCCGTTTGTCGATCAGTTGATCCAATAACTCGGTGCGTAGCGACCTTAATTTTCTTAAGTCATTATTTATTATTATGATTATTGTTATCTTTTTTTTATTTTTGACTTTATTAATTGTGTGGTCACATAAGAATTTAATGTGATATTTAATTAATTTAATGTGTTATTTAATTAATCCATATATTTATATATTTGTATTTGTTATATAAAAAAAAAAAAGAGGTATTATATATATATATATATATTTAATCTTTTATTTATATTTATATATATTGCAATTATGTTATATTATATAATATAATATTATATAATAGTCAAAGTAGATTAGAATAGGGATTAGGTAATCAAAAGAATATAAAAGACAAAGGGAGAGCAACCGAGTGAGTGTGTGTGTGAGAGAGAGAGAGAGAGAAAGAAAGAGAGAGAGAGAGAGAGAGATCAAAGAAAGAAAAGGAGATTAGTTCCAGAGAGAAGGAGAAGCGGTTGTGTGTGTGAATGAGAAAGGAGATGAAGATTAGGGTTAGGGTTAGGGTTTTGTTTTGGTGGCTCCATTAATTCTTCAAATATTTTTTTGATCTTCAAAAAAATTATTGTGACTACAAAAGCCACTTCTCTTGATTTATATTTAATTCGTTGTTTTTATTTCTTTATTTGATGTTGAATTGATTTCATATTTGCATATAGATGATTGATCGATTTTAATTATTTTGATTAGTTGTATATGTAAGGTTTAGAGTTTTTAGATGACTGATTGATTTTAATTATTTTGTTTAGTTGTGTAAGTAAGGTTTAGGGTTTTTAGTTGATTGAATGATTTTAATTATTTTGATTAGTTATGTATGCCAGGTTTAGAGTTTTTATATGGATTTATTTTATGGCTGTAATCACACTCATGGTTATATGAAATTAAAATTAATTAGGAACCCATAGATAAATTCCTTATACTCCACTATGACTCCATGGGTTGTTGTTTTATTTGAGTGAAGGTGAGAAAGTGTGTATAAAAAAAAGTGAGGATTATGAGATTTATTTGAATTCCTTAGGCTTGGCATTGTTATGTTGTTTTCATGAGTGAGATATTTTGTATATATATATTGTTGCCTCGTTCTCATGAGTAGATGAGTGCTTTGATTTACGCGCGTACGTATATGCTAACCATCCGAGGAGTGTAGGCCAAACTCGGGACGATATCCCCGTACAAGTTTGGCTTTGGAGCAGTGTTAGGTATACGGGAGGCACATAGGATATATGTGTAGGCCGAAGGTGATAGGCCGAAGTGGTGAAGTTAAGGTACAAAGAATTAAATATGAGTTTATTGTTATAGTGTGAATTGTATTGATTTGTACATCTTGAAAAATAGTAAACGACCTCGATAAATTATGAAATTTGAGCAGAGGCATGTATACGTAATTCTAGACAACTTTTGCGTTTTAACTTTTTATTAAAAGATAGATTAGAACTTATAATCGAATGATCTTAGTTATTTTAGTTTTGATTCATTTTAACAATGCAGAGTTTAGAGACTGTTTTAACCCACGAAACGAGCTCATTTTTATTGGTTTCGCATAAACTGAAGTAAAACGTTATTCTAAATATTTTTTGTGTTTTGAACTTTTTCGAAAAAATTCATCTTACAGCAGTTTTTTTTTGTTTTCAGTTCTAGATTTTTCGATCAAATTTTGGTTAGGATTTTCTATTAAGTTTTTCTCTCAACCTGTTTGGTTTCTACTAAATTCGTTCGCCTATCCTTTTAGGAAATTTGATTCTGTACAACTTTTGTTCTTTGAGTTTTGGTTAATTCGAATTATTTAAGTATGAAACGGTGCATTTTTATACTTCTTTAGTAAATTACTTATGATTAAATTATACTAACTTTATTTTTTTTCCAGAATCGTGAGTCTTACTAACTTTTTATACAGGGCTGACCCACCATATTTTTATTTCTATTTTGTTTATTTCATACTTGTAGACACCCCATTTTTGACCGACCTTAAGACTCAGACGTCACCGATTGAGCGCTTGGTGATGTTGCATAATGTGCTCGTTCAGAAGTCTCAGAGTCGCGGCCGTGAGCCCTGCCTCCGGACTTCCGAACCCTTTTCTGTGCCTTGTCTCGGTTTGCGAACCAGACTCGGTTTTCTCTGTTTCTTTTTCCGAGGGAAGGGAGAGGTCCCGTAGACCATCTCTCAATGTCCATAGGCTACATTTGGTGGCCGTAGGCCATTTTGCCCATTTCGGAGTCCGGTTCCCGGTTTTCGGAGCCGTCAGGCCGTGTGCCTCGGTTCGGGACCGCCTAACCATCTCTGTTTGCTCTAATTTTGGCATACATCAGAATTTGCCAAACAATAGGCCACAGTTATGAATGAGCAAGCAGAGTTAATGGTAAGATTGCAGCAGCAAACTGGAGCATCCGCTTCACAGCAAGTCCCTCCTCCGCCAAGGGTTCCGATACCCGAAGAAACACCGAATACCCGGAATGTCCAAGAAGATACAGACATCCCAACGGGGCCGGCTCCACCCCCGATTC